GTAATATATTTTGAAAGTAATTTTGGAGTTTGGGATGATTTGATATTTTGTTGTAATTGAGTAGATATGTGTAAGAGAAAAAGTGATTGAGAAGGAGAGAGGAGAGAGAAAAAGTGATTGATTGATGTGCAAGAGAAAGAAAGTGATTTTGAAATTTTTTTTGAGAAAAACAACAAATCAAACAAAATTTTAGAAATTTTTTTCAAAAACAACTCTCACAAAAACAAACCAAACAGGCCCATAATTTTAATCAAACTGTCATTATAAAAAAATATAAATTTTTTTTTAAAAAAAATTTACACATTTTCATAATAAATTACTAAAAAAATTAATTCTCAAAACAACCTAATAGTCCTTCATTTATATTCGATGTCCACGGTTTGGTTTGGGACGGTTTGCGGTTCGGTTTGGACCCGCCCGCATCTATGCGGTTTGGAAAAAAGTCAACCCGCAATCGCCCGCAATGCGGTTTGCAGTTTGTGCGGATAGTGTGCGGATAGGGTTCGTGGGTGTGCGGACGGTTGCAGGCGGTTTGCGGATTGAACTTTTTTTTCAAAAATTTATTTTTAAACCTTTTTTTTCTCCCATTTTGTCAATCTTTATTTTGGACCTTTTTTTCTCATATTTTCTAAAATGCTCCAACATTAATAATTAATGAACTAAAACTTATAAATACAGGTTCAGAATTAAATACAGATTAAAATACAGATTCAGAATTAAATACAGATTAAAACACAGATTATACAGACAGAATCAATCAATTTGAATGTAAACAGACAGATTAAATACAGATTCAGAATTAAATACAGATTAAAATACATATTAAAATACAGATTGAATGTAATCAGTCTGAATTCCACCTAGTTGGTCAATTTGAATTCCAAAAATTAAATAACATACAGATTCAGATTTCAGATTTAAAGAACAAATTTGAAGAAAGAAACACAGATTCGATCGGATTTAACATACAGAAACACAGAAAGAAACACAAATTAAAAGAACAAATTTGAAGAAAAAAACACAAATTTGAACAAATATGAACAGATTCAGATTTAACATACAGACAGATTCGATGCAGACTAGCCAAAACAAATCTGAAACCGAACAAAACAAACACAGAGGCCAAAACAATTTGAAGAACAAATCTGAAACCGAAGCTACCTCAAACAAAACAAACACCGGCCAAAACAAATTCAAAAAATCAGATTTGTTGGTCCACAAAAAAAATCAGATTTATTTCCAAAGAAACACAGATTCGATCGGTGCAGAGATGAGAGATCAGGGAGAGAGAGAGAGAGAGAGAGAGAGGCTTACCTGTGTGTGAGTCGATCGGTGCAGAGATGCACAGAGAGTGAGATTGATGAGATGAGAGAGTGAGGGAGACAGATCAGATCAGAGAGATATATCATATATATATATATATAAAACAAAAAAAATCAACGATCGATTGGGGCGAGAGAGAGAGAGAGACAGAGATTGAGAGAGAGAGTTTACCTGTGAGTAGATCGGCAGTGCGATGAGATGAACAACTAGAGAGTGAGAGAGTGATCGGTGCAGAAACGAGAGAGTGAGAGAGAGAGACAGTGAGTTGAGATGAGGCTGAGAGAGAGAGTGAGGGAGACGATTGATTTTAGGGTTTTTTCTTTTGTTTTGTTTGTTATAGGTGAGTAGATGGTGAGTGAGAGATGGACGGTTAGATTTGGAGAAAAAAATAATAATAATAATAATAATAATTAATTAATTAATTTAATGCAGACGGGTTGGAAGGGTGCGGTTTAAATCCGCAACCCCTCCGTAACCCGAAATTTGTATAAAATCCAAACCGCACCCTACCCTAATGTGTTTGCGAAACCGCCTACATGTGTGCGGTTTGGATTGAATAAGGCGGTTTAGGCGGGTCGGATGACCCTATGCCCAGTCCTAGTCATGGGCCATAGCACCGGTAAACGGTGTCTGGTGTGATAGCACCTTCCCTTATTCCAACTAACTTTTGAGGAGGGGGCTCGCTTTTTGGTTTGAAAATGAATTTTCAAAATTTAAAAAGGAAAATGAAATTAATTGTACAATGTGAAAAAAAATAAATAAATAAATTGATAAACAGTTAAACGGTGTCGTCTGCTGTGACAGCACTTGCCCTCATTCCGCATGAGTGGTACCCCAAGGGATTGAGGGCACGTGCTGTCATAGCATTGTGCTGTCACAGCAGAGGATACCGTTTAGCTGTTTATCAATTTATTTTTTTCACATTGTGCAATTGATTTCATTTTCTTTTTTAAATTTTGAAAATACATTTTCAAACCAAAGAGCAAGCCCCTCCTTGAAAGTTAGTTGGAAAAAAAGAAAATCATATCTACTAAAATTGAATGAGTTTGATTAGTTGATAATAAAAAATAATAAATAAAAAAAGAAGTACAAATTTGTATGAAAATTGAGTTATACAATATTTTTTATGTCTCAAAAATCCCTTTTTGGTAAAAACAAATTTTAGAAGTAAATCAATATTAAAACTGAAGCATTTGAAACAAATGATAATTCAATTATACATGTAGCAACCATCTATATATATATTTGATAGTTACATGTATTTTTTCTGTATTATATGATTGCTACATGTATAATTGAATTGTTATTTGTTTCAACTGGATTAGTTTGAACATTTCTAAAATTTGTTTTTACAAAAAAAAGTGATTTTGAAGCAGTTAAAAATATTGTAGAACTCAATTTCTATACAAATTTTAACCTTTTTTTATTTTCAACTAATCCAACTCATTCAATTTTGTATAAATTACAAAGGGTGAATTAAACTAATAGTCCCTATAGTTTGGGTCTTGTGTCAATTTAGTTCCTGACTTTTCAATTGTGACACATTTGATCCTGAATTTTGAATCTTGTTCCAAATAAGGACAATTGAAGATATTATTAGATTTTTCAAGGGTAAAATTGTCAATTTGATAAAATATAAACTAATTTGACAAAAATAAATGTCAAAAAAATATTTTTGAATTTTTAAAAATTATTTTTACCCACTAAAAATAAAATTATGTAAAATTGATAAATCTTTTAGACATTATTTATTTTTTTTACCAAATTAATTTTTATTATGTGTTTGGAGATGATCATGTAAAATTAATTTTAAAAAACTAATCATGTAATTTTTATTAAATTTGATCAATTTTACATAATTTTATTATTGGTGGATAAAAATAATTTTAAAAAATTAAAAGTATTTTTTTGACATTTATTTTTGTCAAATTAGTTTATATTTTATTAAATTGACGGTTTGCCCTTAAAATTAAATAATAGTATCTTCAATTGTCCTTATTTGGAACAAGATTCAAAATTCAAGGTCAAATGTGTTACAATTGAAAAGTCAGGGATCAAAGTGACACGAGTGCCAAACTATAGGGACTATTTGTGTAATTTGTCCAATTACAAATACATTCATCAGATTTATTTAAAATACGGATTACCCCTTGTGATTTTAGAATTTACAAATACCTATTTATCATATATTTTTATTTAACAAAATTAATAAAAAAAACAAAATAAAATTTCTAATTACTTTCATATACAACAATAAAATTATATGAATTATTAATTAAAATATATTTCTAATATCGTTAAAACTGTTAATTACTTGATAATTTATTAATAAAATTAGTCAATTATTATGCGATTAAAAACTTAAATGGGTGAAATATAATTTCCAGAATTAGAGGAAGGAATTTGTATTTTAACTAAATTTCAAAAAATATATTAATAATTGATCCTTCAATTTTTGAGTAGATGTGAATTACTTTATTTATTTATTTAACTTTTGAGGACAGGTTCACATCTTGGTTTGAAAATAAATTTTGAAAATTACAAAAAGAGAGTGAAATTGAAATCACATTACAGAAAGTGGAGGGAAAAAAAAATAGTAATGAAGCAAACGGTGTTGTTCGCTGTTACAGCATGATGCTATGACAGCACCATCCCTGAATCCCACTCATGCTATTATTGAATTTGATGCTCTAACAGTCGTCATTCAATTGTGTTCATAGAAGGTCTTTTAACACTTCAAAATGATCAATTAATCATTGGATGGAAAAAATTTATTTTTAATTTTTGTCTAAATTTTTAATAAATATTATCAATTGAATCAAATTAAACAAATATGAAAAAAATTAAAACGTGAAACTGATATAATTAAAATTATATGAATTAAATTGACACAATAAACAAATTATAAGAACCACAAGTATTATTTTTTCTATAATTTAATATCCTATCTCTGTGCTTTAGTTATATATGGAACTTCTCATGTTGCAATACTTAAATGGATAACCATATTACATGCTCAAAAATTATTGACAAAAATATTTAGAAAATTACATTTATGGACCACATTCATTGTGAATGAGATTCATATCACACCAATTTTGAATCTATATGATACACCTAACTTTTCCAAATATTTTCCAGGACTAAAAATTATGGTTAGATAGCAATTTTTTATACTCCTTCCGTCCCAAAATATTAGTCCTTTATTCCATTTTTCATTGTCCCAAAATATTAGTCCCTCTTCAAAAATCAAGTACAAAAATAATATAAATTTCCTATTTTGCCCTTCTTTTAAATTAATAAACAATATAAAAAGTACAATTATGACATTGATATTCCCAAAAAATGTACTATCAAAAGGATAATTTTGAAAAATCAACTTTTTTCAAATGCAATAATTGTACTATCAAAAAAAGTTGAATTCCTCAAAAGGAACCATTATTTTGGGACGGAGAGAGTAATTTAATCTCTGATCATAAAAATAAAATAAAATAAAAGGGGGGCATAAGTGCATATATACAAACAACCGTGGAATACACAACAAACTTTCACAACTTATTCACAAAAAACCATATAAATAAACTTCATATATATTTATTGACATATTTCAAACTAGAGCTTCACTTCTATCACAATTGACTGACTTAATAGTACTTGGTGATTTTTTTTACAGAAGCTGAACATCTTCTGTTCATATTACATAGTAAATTTCAATCTAAAAATTAAAAAAATATTACATATTAGACAAAACTTATAGATGAGAGTTGAGACCTCTCATTTTGTGCCTTTCTTATGCCTAGCCACAATATTTTACAGTAGATGGGCGACTATTACGGCACTATATATATTGTAGATATCAATCACAGAATCAAACACATAATATATATAAATATATGGGATTTTTTAATATGAATTTCGCTAAGAAATCTCATAAAATTTTTATATATTTATATGTATTTTGTGTTTGATTGGGTGATCTATAACGGGGCTGATTTGAGATATGAGATTAGTTGTGGTGGATGAAAGACCTTGTGGGAGTTAAATCACCGTCTGATGAAGAGTCTGAGATGTGATAACGAACACCAGAAGTATCTGTATCCAGTGGACTGCAATAGAGTGTTGAATTAACTAGCCAATCATTGCATTCCATGTGTGCATTGCTTGGTACAGTGGCCACCACCGTGGATCCATCGGTCAGAAATGAATGTTGATGACACGATCTTACCATGCTCTCATGATGACTGGAATATTGCTCCTCCACCTCACCTATACATATGGTATAGTCTTTGCCAGGTAAGTAACCATAAGACAAATTTGGGTTCAAGTCTTCAAACCAATGAGATAAAAGATTAAAACGAAATTTGGATAAAAATTGAAGGGTGAAAAGTATAATTTATCCTAATCTGATTCCTTCCTCTTCAATCATAATTTATTCTTATAATTCAATAAAATCAACAAATCAAATAATCAAAATTAGACTTTATAATATGCCCACAAACTCAAATAACTCCACTACACTAAAAAAATAAATTCCCAATTAAGTAATTAATTATATGAAGTTTCAAAGAGAGAACAGAGTAGAGCTTACCTTGAGTTAACAGTGGGATCTCATTCAAAAACCCATCAAATTCTTCCAAAGAATTCCAATTCAGATATGCATCTCTCACCAAACTCTCAATATAAGCCTGAAATATATTTTCAAAACCATCCACATATATTAACAAACTTAACATTAAAAAAAATAAATATTTATTATAATGAGAGGAAAAAAAAAAAACTTATACCCTGTTCATGGTAGTACTGGAATCTCGAGTAGGGTATGTTTGGCCATTAATCTCAGCCTTAACAACTTGACATATTGGATTTAAGATGATGGTGTGGTTGCCTCCACGAGATAGATATAATTTGTTGCCCAAAAGACAGGTTCTTGCATGCTTTATAGTTACTTCCCACATTTTCTCTGACATCCCAAGTCCTAGTATCTGTTTGGAAGAATAAGAAGTTTTATTTTAAGCAGTTAATACAATTCTTACTTATATCTAGACATATCAAACTAAAATTTGAGTAAAAAGACATCAAAATTGGCTTCACTCCTTTGCTCAAATTTATGTCAATTGAGTTTTATTTAAATTTTTCCTCAAATCAATGTGTCTAATCCAAACTTGACATTTGTGCAATTTTGCTCAAATTTGAGTTTATTCATTTAAATGTTTTTATATCAAATGAAATTTTTTACTTCAAATTCTAAAAATAGATGGAATTAAAAGTATAAATAATCAAGTTCTCTATATATCTTTTTAGAAGTCCACTTCTCTCCAGTTGAGTAGATAGATTGGCCTCTCCCATTTGGCTACAGGGCCTTTTTATGTAATTTATTTTGATAATTAATTTTGTTCATATTTTTAAACAAATGTGTGTAGATCATTAAAAAAAATTAAAAATTTTATATGACAATTATGCTATTGAAAATAAATTATCCAACAAATATGATTAAATGACTACACTATTGGATTAATATGATTTTTATGTAGACGATCTACTTATATTATAAACCCAAAACATGAACAAAAATTATTTTTAAAATAGACCGCATGATGGTCCCGCATGGCTTGATTGGATAGATCTGTCTATTCATAGAACTAAATAGGATCCATATTTTTCTCTATAATAATTTATGGTTTTAGATAAATTAGAGATCAAGAATTTAAGAATAAGCATTTACCTTTCTAAGTTTGTTTTGATCAACAACAGAGAGCTTCAAGAAGTCTTGGACAGTGTTAATGGCCATGGAGGCTAGCTTCTTATGAAAAGCTCCATCTTTTCCAATCTTCTCAAGTCTCCACACCTCGTCCTCTAGCATGGGTGGGTGATGCTTTTTGTACACTACATGTATATCACCAAAACAAATATCAGTTGCTGTTAAATTGTTCACAATCAATTTAGAATTAATCACACAAATAATTCTTACAATATAAGATCTGTTGTACTTGAGTCTATAATTTTTAATTTTTTAATTTGATAATTAAAATATGAGATCAGTTACATTTTAATCCATGGCATTAGGAATATTTGAAATCAATAATAGGGATTTTTTTTTTCTTTTTTGGAATATTACATCAAGCCTAAACAAAACTAATTACATATACAATCCCAAAGTATGAATTTATTATATTTTGGCCCCCAAGATATGCACTTTATTTTATTTTGGTCCCCAAAATATGCGTTTTGTTGCAATTTTATTTTAAAAAAAAAAAAATGGGTAAAGTTTCAAAAATATTACTCCCATTGTTGATTTAAGACAGAGTTGGTGCAAGGTATTAAAATACAACAGATCACCATCTGCGGGTACCAGAGTGAAAAAATAAATTTGAGACTAAAGCATAACAAATCATATACTTTACAAATCTAATTAATTCATCAACTTATCTAACAAATTATACTATCAAATTAAGAGATAACTTTGTTATTTATTTGTAACAATATATTTCATTTTCAGTCAATTAATACCATCATTTTCGTGGGTCATAAAGCAATAATATCTCAAAATCCTTTAGTCTAGGAAATGCATTGTATGTAGTCAAAGCTAAAAGTATTCTTGCTAAAGTACTTTGAAAATGAAATTCAATACAGTCTGTCTTTGTGCATCGTACACCCTTTTCTAGAACACAACAATAATAGCCAAGTAGTCATAGAAAATTAGAAATTGATCTTGACAAAGTAAAGATTCAAACCCTTTTTTTTTTCTTTTCAAAAATGTTAGAAATTCCAGAAGTTATACTAAAATTTTTATCAAATGTCTTACATAGGTATGAGACCCACATAGGACTCATATGGTATGAATCTCACACTCATATGAAACATTTGATAAAAATTTTAGTAAAATTTTTGAAATCTCTAGTAGTACTCTTTTTTTTTGGGGGGGGGGGGGATCAAATTGTAATAGTTATTAATTACATATAATTGGATATGAGAAGACTAAATATTTAAATCTAAAGAGTTAGTTGAATAATAAGTTAAATGTGTTGTGTGATAAAAACGTATGCCAATCAAATTTCATAAAGTGTTAATTTGTTCTCGATAATTACTCAATATGCATGGGATGAAAAATTATATGTACCTAATGTGCTCATGAAAAAAACCCTCAATGCCTTGGTCACCAACAGAGACATAACAATTTTCCGACTGAGCGTTGCAATATTATTTGGCTTAGAAATTATGGGTCGCCTCAAAGGTAAAACCACCTCTTTTAGACCTGAAATTTTGAAAAGCTTCCAAGTTCTAATTTTTTTTATTCATTGCCTAAAAATATATTCTCTTTATCAGTCTCCCAAAAAATTGTTGTTTAGAGATTAAAAAAAAAAAAAAATAACTCTCATTATCAAAGGCTCCCAATCATAAATATTGAAAACTATTTCATTTTGTTTTGATTCAATACCTATTGTAAACCCTTTTGTTATACTGCAAAATTTTATTTTAAAAAAATAAATAAATAAAAAGTTGATTTTTACAAGTACAAGAAGATAGTAAATATTACCATAAGAAAAATAATGTCCTATTAAGAGATGTTGATGGCTAAAGCCTGTCCGGTTAGGAACCAATGGGAAAGGTATTGACCAGAAACGCCATCTACTAGCGTGTTTGAACTCGTATACATCACGCGGAAAGAATATCATAATAATAAGGTCGTGACTAATTCAGGGTCTTCAAATTACAAATCTCTAATAATCTCAATCTTGGGTGATACTTGTAACGGATTAGATTTTAAGTCTGTTAATTATTTTTTTCCCTCCACTAAGTCAAATCTTTTGGGTTTATCAACTTAGTCGTTCGATTAATCAAGGATAAAATGATTTGTACCAAAGAGAACTGATCATTTCAAATTGGATGCTACCCTCTTAATTGTATTAAACAAAAAGGGGATGAACTATTTTACCACATAATTACAGTCAAATTTCTAAATAAATATTTTTTATTAGATTAAATTGACATAATATAAAATATTTAAGAATAAAATTAAATTATCAAGATTGAATTGACAAAATAGACAAATGAGTGTGGGGTTTAGAAGAAAGATAGGTAGATGATGCCCCGTTAATGAAGAAACAGCCCTGGACCCCTCCCCTTCATAAAAGTGCAACATGTTTGAGCAGTTGTTGAACCACTGGTCCAAAAAGTTCACTAAAAAGCACTTTATAATTGTTATGTTCACTTCTGACCTATGGTTGAGAAATGTTCATTCTAATCATCCTATTAATAGGGTATTTGTTACCATTTAACTTATTTTAATTTGAAAGTTTATGTTAGATTATTTAGTATAATTTTTACTTATAATTTATTAGACATAAACAGATTAAATAAGTTGAGAATAGTTAATTATCTAAAAATTAAAAGAAATATGCTTTTAATTTCTATTTTTTAATTATAAATTTTTAACTTTTAATAAATTATACCAACCATGACCAAAATATTGAAATAATATTTTGTATCATCAGTGAATTATCACCAGTGTGATCAACAACCCAATAAAAACTATTATTAGATGCTATAAGTTGCTTTAGATTCTCCCAATTTTTTTCCTAATCAATTCATTAATTTAATTGCTTAGACTTTGTTAAATACATATGATTTGATTCAATGGAATAACCCGTTTTTCTTCAGTTACGTGTGAGTCTTTTGTCTTCTTTGAATTTATTGAGATTTTTTAGTTTATAATATATTAGTAATTATATATTATATGTTTTTTCACAATTAAATTTTTAATTTGATATACTTGATATGATATTTATAAATTATTTACTTATGTTTTGACTAAGCACCTAGATTTGCCCCCATTACTTTAAACCTAATTCTCACCAACTCATACTAAACGAAAAAGGAATAAAGATTAGAATAAACAATAAATAGCCTCTCAAGTGTTGAATTATATTTTTTTTAAAAAAGGCTTATATTCCTTGCTAGTGGGTATTTCTTGCATACCTAAAACGTTTCTCTTAATGTTGGTTTTTTTTTTTTTTTAAAAAAAAAATTTAAAATACAACTAATCATATTAAAGTCACTATGTGTAGAAAAAAAATAGCAAAAAGTATGATGGTAACATGTTACGGTATGATTGGTATTTTTTGGTAATTTTCTATCATTATCAAAGGATTCAGATATTTTTCATTATAGGGATAAAATGAAAATATCTATCACATAATTAATTATGGTAAAAGAGTCACATTACCGTTTTTTATTTTAAATTAGAAGAAATGAGTAGTATTTGAAAATTTAAATTGATGTAACAATTAAAGTGAGATGTATATCAACTACGTAACAGAGAGAATCTAAATCGATTTTAAAAAATAAGAAGCTAGAAAAAAAAGGAACTTACATTCTCCGCGGTGATCTTTGACAACGAAAGATTCAGTCATGGCTTCACGAACCCTAACACCTTGACTGCTACCATGAACAACTCTCGCACCAACCCTAAATTTTCTACTCCGAATCCAACTCGAATTGTCAGTAAATTCAATTTCTCCAACAAGTGCAAGCCCATCCCTCATGGTGATTTGCAACTCACCGGTGAGCAAAGGTCGCTTCCCGGTCCTCTCCCTCACAACACTCTTGTCAAATTCTTCGCTCGTCCACGTGTCATTATCTCCGGGAAGAAAGTCACCGTCGAGAACCACAATCTCCACTTTTATGGGATAAGAAAGGCTTGTTGGAACCAAGTGATCGCCGGTTGTGTCCACAAGGAGGACTTGGAGAGGAGAGTTATCAGCGTTGACAATCTTGCTTCCAGTGAATATCGGTAGCGAAAGTTTGTTGCTGAATATAAGTTTTAAGCTTGAGGGTTCAAGTTTTTGAATTCGGAGTGAGGGAGACCTAGTTATTGATCTTGCACCTCTCCTTAGGCCATTTTCCACCTCTTCATTCACCTGAGAATGGCTTAGGGTATATTAGTGGTCCAAATTTATATATGAAATGTTATTATTATTAGGTTGTATTCAAGATTTGGTACATGAATTTGATTGTCAGAAACTTATTGGAAATAAAAATGGGTTAATTATAATTTATCCCCTTCAACTATCATTGAATACGATACTACCTTTTCAATCTAAAAATCGTACTTTTGAACTCCTTAGCTATTAAAAACCGCACAAAAACCCCCCTTTGGAGGTGTAAAGTGAAGTAATTTTGATAGTTTAGAAATTCAATTGAGAGGGTATGATAAAATCAATGATAATTACAAAAGATAAATTGAAATTAACTTCACAAAAAATTTGATATTGTAATGTATTACGATATAAAAATTTGATATTGTAATTGTACTTCTCTCATGTCAGTTAAAGTACAATTATGAATGAAAAAATGATACTCCTAATTGAAATATAAAATTTCTTTCATGTGAGTTGAAGTGCAATTATGAGAGAATATAAAACTCATAATTAGATTTGTGACTTGTGACAATACTTCTAACTAAAGCTACGTATTGGTATTGAGAATGTAATTATAAAATAGGTAATATTAAAATATCAATATTAACGTTTAAAATCTTATACTTTGTAGGAGATCATATGAAACTCACACCACACCTCTACTTGCTTAGAGAAAAACTATGATCTAAAATTACATATAATAGTATGTGAAGAAGCTTAATTGGTCATTACCACTTTTCGAAGCATTGGCTCCAAGGCTGCACAGAAGTTCTGCAAGCAATTCACCATAACCACTTCCCCTATAACACTGTTCAAACATAAGAAACAACATCAAACACTTTGATGCAATACATGAAACAATTTTATATGCTTTTACACATCCAAACAAACAACGTTTTTGTTTTTGCTTTTGTTTTCGTGTTTTTTTCTCAAAAAAATCAATAATTAAAATAAAAATGAAATTTAATATCCCAAACAAAGACAAAATTTAAAACATATGGTATTGAATGATAAGACATACGAAGCGAAAGAAGGCCTAGATCTCTTTCGTTTTCCATTTGGGTGATCTGGGTCGGTACCGGACTCATCGAAAAACCGTTTTCCTGCCATTTTTTTGAAGAATGAAAACTAAAAGTGTGTGTGTGTGAGAGAGAGAGAGAGAGATGAGCTTTGGTGTGGGTGTCTTGGTTGTTTGAAAGAGGAAATGGGTGCAAACATGAACAGGTAAGTGTGTATATATATAAATATAAATAATATAATATGGGTAGAGAGTATTATTTTAAAGAAACAATAATATTAGTATTAGTATATGAAAGAAGGTTCTGGGAACGAGAGAGGGAAGCAACTCGGTACTAGAGGTTCGAGGTGACCTTTGCTATATGATGTAACGACTTTGACGTCAACTCACCTGTACGCGTTTTAATACGCATATATATATATATATATATATACATACATAGAGAGAGAGAGAGAGAGAGAGAGAGAGAGAGGGGGGAATACAATCATTTTGTTATGCTTGATATTTAAGTAAAAAAATTTACCGAATTGATAATATTAATTTTATTATTTTAAATATCGATACAGATTATTTCTTTTATTAAATCACACTGAGTAGAATTAAATCGACTAAAATGGTTTAATTTAGTGCAGTTTAATCGATGATAAACTTTTTATTCTTGAATTACTTTTAAATATAATCATTAATGTATATAAAAATATTAAATTAATTATTTATTTACTAATTCAAACATATCTAATTCATCTATTTAATTATTTTTCAATTCCTAAATTAACAAAAATAAAGACAAATAAATTTTTAAAATATTAAGATTTCAAGAATAATAAATTAGAATTAAAATTATATATAAAAATAGTTTACAAACTTAAGTTATAAAGATAATAAGATTAATTAATTAAGCTTAATAATTTACATCGAACCAAACATGAAAATAATTAAATTTAAAAATTGTACAAATCAATTCTTATTAAAAACAAACTAAATATAGCCGGTTTGATTGATTTTTCTTACATCTCTAAATATATCGATAGCTCTGCGCCCTAGATCATGGAAAAAATGAAAATAATTAAATTTAAAAATCATACAAATCAATTCTTATTAAAAACAAACTGAATATAACCGGTTTGGTTGGTTTTTCTTACATCTCTAAATATATCGATAGCTCCGCGCCCTAGATCATGGAAATCAAGCGCTAGGATTGCTTGGTGACCATCAGTTGTTGTTAGCCCCTTTTTTTTTTCTTTTCTTTTTTTTCTTTTTTTTGAACGGGTTGTTGTTAGCCGTTTGATCTGCATACAAATGCAGTTGGAAATAGGTAGGCAGCGGATCCATGTATGACGACCTTGCACAAGTTCAGAAAGTGCTATGTGATTTTGGAATTGGAGTATTTCACCTCTTATGATTTAAATATAGTCAGAAAGTGCTATGTGATTTTGAACTAAAATGTCCATTAAATTTTTCATCCAAACTAACAAAACATGTATTACACACACCATTTTTTAGAATTAGTTTGATTTTCTAAAAAAATAAAATGAAATTAATAGAACAAAAAACAATTTTATCCCAATTTTCTTCAAACCTAAAATTAGATTAATATGTTAATTAAAATAATATAAAATAAAATATAATTAAGGATTGATCTAAAATATAAAATATAATTAAGGATTTGTTTAAAATATAATTAAATTAAAATATATATTAAATAATAATTAGAATTGATCTAAAAAATAATTAAATTAAAATTAGATTAAGATGTTAGGAATTACAATAAATAATTAAGAATTTATGATTAATTGTGATCTATAAAACATAATTCGATTAAAATTTTAATAATTATTATAAATAATTAAGGATTTAGGATTAATTGTGATCTAAAAATTTTATAAGTACTGTGATTTAATTGAATTAATGGTAGACATTAAATTTTGTGTATGAGAGAAGAGAGAGAAAGAAAATAACAAAAAAAGTATAGGATTTGAGGGTATTATAGTCTTTTCACATCTATAGTTCACGGTGTCAATGGTTGTATTTTAATCTAAAATCACATGGAGATTTTCTGGTTATATTTAAATAATAGGGAGGAAAAATGCTTTTATCTCAAACCATAAGAGGGTAACATGAATTTTATCTTATATTATATAAGTAATGCTATACTTACCCCATTTTTTTTTACAAATCTCAATGTACCACCTTATGTGTTAGCACATCATTTGACATAAACATGAGAGATGAAACTCATTACATCAATGATAAGTTAACACAAAATAATACATTAAAAATGATATAAAAATATGGTAGGTATGACATTACTCATTATATAAGTGATCACCTCTATTTGTGCCTTCTTCTGTCCAAATAAATTTTTGTATATCTCTAAATTACTCAAAATATCGTCCTGTAATTGCCTTCATTTGTGCTCCGAAACTCATTAAGGCTTTGTTTGGGGTATCCTATTTTAGTCCATCTTTTTATCTTTTTTGGGTCACATCAATCAACATTTTCTCTCTACTTTTTTACATATCTTTTTATAAAAAGTCAAAAAATACACTTATTTAGAATATCTCAAACCACCCCTTATGTTCAGATTCAAGCAAAAATTTGTATTTTACAAATAGGTATTAGAGTAATGTTAGAGATCCCAAATAATTTATCAAATATTTTACTAAGCCTTTTACATAGGTGTGGACCCCCACACATATGGGTTTGTGTGAGTCTTACATTCATATGAGAGATTTAGTAAAACATTTAGTAGATTATTTGAGATTCCTCATATTTTCTTAAATATTATTATTCAAACTAAAAAATTAGATTTATTTTTTAAACCTAATAATGTCTCACTCTATTAAAATATCCAAGTCAAATCTTTATTTCATTTATCCTCCAATCATTAACCAATTATTTTATTCATATATTACTAAAACTATAAAATGGGTTTATTTATCATTTTTCCTTACAAATTTAACAATACACTTATCAAATGGGCACACACCACGAGTAATATTAATTGTCTTGTTAGTGTGTTTAGAAATTCAAGATTTTAGTTAAAAAATTAAAAAAAAAAACCAAAATGTTTTAAAATTGATAGGGCTTCATTTGGGAAGCCAATTTTTGGATTTTTTTTTGGCTAAAATAGTCATAAAAAAAAAATAAGCTTTCTAGCTTAATAAGACAAAAGATCGCATCCAACCCATAATCATTACATTCTTTCTCTTACAAAAAAGTCAAAAAAGCTAAAAAAAAAGGCAAAAATCATTCCCAAACCAGGCTTTTTAGCCCCAGACTAAAACAGCCAAAAAATTCAAAAAGTCAAAAAGTCAATCCACTTCCCAAACAAACCCCTAGGTCATATACAAAAATCTAAAAATAATTTTTTTCTTCTTCTTCTTCTTTTTTATGTTTGGAAAAAATTGAACACTCCATATTTTAACAAAAAAAAAATGAAAAAATCACTAAAAAAATAGCTTTTCAAACCAACTCATATTAATAATAATAATAATAATAATAATAATAAAAGCCTTGAATTCAACTGCGATGCCACATTATTAGTATCACCTTCCAATAACTTATTAGCATTTATCCTCCTACATATATTTGGCAAGGTAGTTATATCTAAAAAGCAAGATTTTACCTTTCACGTGTAAGCTTAACATTGAAGATGGAATTAAACTTCTTAACTTAAAGCTACATATTAATAAAATTCTAATAATAATAATAATATGAAATAAGTTTGTCTCTCGTCAAACTGTTACATGGGAGGGATCCAGTTTGGGTTGGTGCGGCTCACTTTGGATTTACTTGATAATCTAAATTATTTAATTTATAAAATCTATTAAGCAGATTATTATTTTAAAAAAAAAAATCAAAGCAATTTTACATTAATAATAATAACCATATGATTGATTTTTTTTATTTTTTTTAATGAAAATAAAATGGTCAATTCATTCTCTAAATCATATTTTTTGTTCATTTTTATATGAGAATTTGAAACACTTAGGCAATTTTCAATGATCAATTAAACTGATTTTTACATTACTAAAATTTGCTTTAAGAATCATACTAATTAAAAGGTCAAAATCACCAAGATGTAACAATAATAATAAAAATAAATAATGATGATGTTGATAATAAAGATTTGAAAAAATTACAATATAGTGTACTTTAAAAAAAATTATAAATTTATTAAAAAAAAGTTATAATTATCAATATTAATAAAATTCATCACTAATTCATAATTATTATTTTTAAAAAAAAAAATACACTAGCATATAATTTTCCCTAAAGATTTTGAAAGATTTTGGTTTGAAGTCGTTCTACGTGGTCAAAACAGGGTAATCTCTATCATTTCTTAGAAATATCTCTGTATTGTTAGGGCTTGTGATGTGGACCCCATCAACAAAGCTAATGTAATGTAATGGTACATAACGCCTACTCTTCAAAATCTGGGATTAACTTGGTAAATTCCAAATGTGTTTGGTCACCCTAATCTAGTTTTCAACAACTTTTGCTCATACTAGTCAATTTTGTTTTACTTGTTTTTGTTCTACCCTAAAGAACTAATTTTCAATTTACATCACTCTTTATCATTCAATCATTTTAATTTCTCTTGTTCATTTTCCATTAGGCCAATTATCAAGAAAAATATAAGATAAAAGATGGTGTTAGTGCAATCTTTGCCCAATTGGTTTATGGAAATAAATATGCCCAATTAGAGATTGGTCAACCCACCTCAGACTATTTTGTTGATTCAAACTGTTTATTTTACTGGGTTTGCTAAAGAGATCATATATGTAAAAAAATCAGATTGATTGAATGTCAATGGCTATATGATTTAATCTCATTTTATGAAAAAAAATAAAAAATTAGACAACAAATTATCTATTTTTAAAGATAAATGTGATTTCATCATTATATCATTGATGCCTAATATCTTGATTTCTACGTTGATGCTTTGATCAATAGACCTTCCAAGATGAAAAAATTCGAATCACTAAGATAAGTCCCATAAAGACCCAATATGAATTCTTAATTGGGCTAACTAAAGCGAGTTGGTTTTTTCTTTTTTCTTTTTTGAGAAATGAAGAGAGTTCAATCCCATCATTTGTTTGGAGAATGATAGATCATAAGAATTGTAGGGCACGTCAACCACTATTGTGTAAGATTTGGGACTTAATTCGGAGTCTATTTTAATAATTTATATCGTTT